CATTTCAAGTGTACTACACAACAGCATTAGAAAATCAATTAAAGACTCCCCCAGATACACATCATTTCTGTTCTTTCCCTGTCCTGATTTTCTTCTGCCATTTCTTCAATAACCACTACTTTCTGGTCTTCAAATAATGTTAGCCCACAAGAAAAACAGACTAAGGCAAAGCATAGTTTCCCTTGTCTTTATGAAGGACAGAAAAAAAACCTCTTGATTTTTCTGCATCTTTCCCCTCCCCTACACACACACACACACACACACACACACACCCAGACCGGGCTTTCCTAGTCTCCTAGGTATCAGCAGCAGTACTGAGCTATAAAATAGGTCCTAGTCTCACAGAGGACTAGAACTCTGTATCTGAACTTGCCCTTGGATTTGGCATCCTGAGGCCTCTCAATCACCTGCACCGTAGGAGTCTCCATTCTCTGACCAGCCACAGCTGTAATATGATTTGGATGTGGTTTGTCCCCACCAACACTCATGCTGAAATCTGGTTGCCAATGTAATGGTACTGCAAGTTGACAGGACTTTTACAAGGCAATTAGACCCTGAGGGATCCACCCTCACAAAGGAAACAAAGTGGTTCCTATAAGAGTGGGTTAGTTACCATGAGTGGGTTGTCATACAACACCTGGCTGCTTTGTACCCTCCTCTCTTTGCACATTCCTGCTTGCCCTTCTGCTTTCCACCATGCATGCAGCAGCACATGGCCCACACCAAAAGCCAAGGAGATGCAGGACCATGCTCTTGGATTCCCAGAGCCATAGCCAAAATAAACCTCTTTTCTTTATAAGTTTCCCAGTCACAGCTATTGTTAGAGCAACAGAAAATGGATAAAGACAGTCCCAGAAAGGTTTCTCAACAGCAGCACTGATATTTTATGATGATTAATTTTTTCTTTTTTTTTTTTTTTTGGTACCGGGGATTGACCTCAAGGGCACTCGACCACTGAGCCACATCCCCAGCCCTGTTTTTTGTATCTTATTTAGAGACAGGGTCTCACTGAGTTGCTTAGTGCCTTGCTTTTTCTGAGGCTGGTTTTGAACTCCCGATTCTGCTGATCATGCTACCACGCATAGGACAGCCACACAACAAAGAATTATCAGAGGGCACGGTGGCGTACCCTGTAATCCCAGTGGCTTGGGAGGCTGAGGCAAGAGGCCCCTACCTTCCAGCAGTACTCTCCCTCTGGTAGTGGCAACTAAAACTGGCATTGCTGAATATCCTCTGACAGAAAAAAGCCCCTTCCCCACCTCTGTTAACAACTGCATTTCTAACCTTTCTCCCTCATCCTAACTCCTTCCTCACTCTTTCCTCTTCTTACAAAAGAAGAATATGTAAGTTTAAAAAAGCAATTTACAAGTTATCAAGCAAAAACAAACAAGAAAAATTTCCACAGCAGAGTTCTCAACTTCTCTCCTTCTAAGCAAAAATGTTTGAAGTATATTTAGCAGAGTCTGCCAGATTTACCCACTTCAGCACCTAGTTTAAGATAAAAAGAAGTAGGCATTGACCACAAAAATGTCCCACTGTAAGATACAGGTGGTGTGACCCAGAAGGAGATACAGGTTGTAGCCTGATGCTTACTGATTTGAGGGACCCCTCCTTTAAAAAAGGATTCACAAGTAATATTGGATGCAAAATAAGTATTTATCTCCATGAGAAAAGCAATAATAATTCATTATAAAAATTTAAAGATAGACATACACTAGGCATATACACTTTCAGGCAACCCCCAATGAGCCATGCCCGTGGATAATGCACTCCCCTGGAATGCAGACAGACCTTGGAACTGCTTCTAGCCACAGAATATGGTAACCACGATGGGATTAGGCCCAAGAGGCCCTTTCCTTATACAGCCTACCCCACATATGCAAGGGTTCTCTATCCAGATTCAATCAACCACAGATCGAAAATGTAGTTAGGCCTACAATGGTTTCATCTGTACTGGACATGGATAGACTTTGCTCCTTATCATTATTCCCTTAACAATATATAGTGCAACAACTATTTTCATTGCATTTATGTTGTATTAGGTATTATAAGTAATCTAGAGACAAAGTATGTGGGAGGATGGGCGTAGGTTAAATGCAAACACTGTGTTATGGTTTGGATATGAGGGGTCCCCCAAAAGCTCACATGTGAGACAATGCAAGAAGGTTCAGAGGAGAAATGATCGGGTTGTGAGAGTCTGAACCCAATCCGTGAATTAATCTCCTGATAGGAATTGAGTGGTAAGTGAAGTAATAGTGTGTGGTTGGAGGAGGTGGGAACTGGAGCGTGGCTTTGGGGCTACTTGTATCTGGAGGGTGGAGAACTCTGTTTCCTAATCATCATGTGAGCTGGTTCCCTCTGCCACACTCTTCTGCCATGATGGCCTGCCTCGCCTCGAGCCCCAAGGAATGGAGCCTGCCTGTCATGAAACCATGAGTCCTCAAATAAACTTTTCCTCCTCTATAGTTATTCTGATTGGGTCCTTTTAGCCACAGTAGCAAAAAAGCTGGCTAAAACATGCTATATCATTTTATATAAAGAACTTGAGCATCTGTGGATTTTAGTATCAGTAGGAATCACAGAACCAATCCCTTATAGATACCAAGCAACAACTGTACAAGACTCTGTCTTAGCTGAACCTACAATGTTCCCACCCCATGCACTTGAAGAAGACAGCTGACACAGAATGAACTGCCTACCCAGTGTGACAGGGGACTGGGAGCAACCTGTAGAAGCTGAGGGCCAATGTCCTTCATCCACAAAGAACTAAACTCTGCTAATAATCATGGAACATGGAAGAAAACTGAGCCTCAGACAAGATGACAGCCCTGGCCAACATCTTGACTGGAGCCTTAGGAGACCCTGAGTAGAGGCTCCACCTAAGCCACACTTCAACTCTTGACCATGGAAATTGAGACAAGAAATGTATGTTTTCAACCTACATTTGCTAAATTTGTGTCCATGTATTACATGGAAAGAGAAAACTAGGACAAATATTGACATCACAAAACCCAGGAAAATAGTTTAATATTGTTATTCATTAACTGCCTGACATCTCTAGAATACCTTTTTAAAAATTTGCTATATACTGTATCTTGTCATATGCCAACAACTTTGAAATGTTTTTCTATAAAGAATAACAAATAATGTAGCCATGGCTGATGGAATTTTCTCTTGTACTGACAGTTTAGAAAAGGTTCTTTCAGCTTCACAAATACATGACATTATTCATAATGGAAATTTTAGTTCTGTAGTCTGCCCTCCATATCCATGAGTTTCCCAATTGTGGATTCAACCAATCACAGATGAAAAATATTCAGAAAAAATGTTTATACAGACATGTACACTTATTTTTCTTGTCATTATTCCCTCTATGATATCAACTATCTACATAGTGCTTACATTGTGTTAGGTATTATAAGGAACCTAGAGAGGACTTACAGTGTATGCAGATTATGTACAAATACCATTCCATTTTATAAAAGGACTATGAATTTTGGAATCTTTGGAGGGTCCTGGAACCAATCCTTCACAGATACAAAGGGACAAATATACTGACACATTTACGAAATATGTATGAAGTTTCAGTGTAAGATCTGGAAGAAATTTCCAGACCAATTGCTAGCTCCATACATTTTGCCCCTTGTTTCTCCTCCACCACCCCCACACTCGAAGTGCCGGGTCCCACAGGACGTGTTCATGCTGCGACCCACCTGGCCCTGCAATACACATTACAATGCTAGTGAGTCAGCACAGTGGGTGGCAGGAATGTTCCCACCCCATGCACTAAAGTGACTCTGTGCACGCAAACACACACACACACACACACACACACAATATTTCCCAACTAACCCCTATCCCTAACTGAACTTCCCTCAGCTAGAATCAGAAATGTCCATGGCCACTCCAATAGCACCCAACACAAGAGGAAGTGGGACAGAGGAAAGTCTAGTAGAAAGATAGTGGCCTAGTTTCTCTCTTTGGCAAATTTCATAGAACGTACACTTGTGTGAATGCCATACTAAGGTGTGGGCTTTGCTCTGAACATGCCCTCTACCAGAAGTTCCAGCTAATGGCCATCCAGCAGAAACTCTGGTTGCCACAGAAATCAAGACTGTGCTGTCATATTGGACTCAACACCACTCATATTAATCACATAAAGTAAGTAATACAAGTGTTGGGTAAGAATGGCACAAGCCTTACCTTGCTGCATAGAGAATCAAGAACTTGATGTCCATCACTTAGGAAAAGATTAGGTTCTTATGACAACTCAGCTCTCTTTTCCTTCTTTCCCCAAATTGACTAGGCACAAAGCTAACTATCTATTGAGAAATACTTGCTGTTAGTCAGTTTCTAGCACTGTGACAAAATACCTGAGATAATCAGTTTAAAAGAGGAAAGGTTTATTTTTGGCTTATGGTGTCAGTCCACAGTTAGTCAGCCCTGTTGCTTTGGGGCCTGTGGTGAGGCAGCGTGTCACGGTGGGATCACAGGTGGAAGGTGCTCATCTCTGGCAACTGGGAAGCCAAAGAGAGAAACTAGATGGGGCCAGGTCCCAACATCCCCTTTAAGGGCATACCTCCCTGTGACCTGACTCTCTCCCACTAGGGCCCAGCTCCTAAAGGTCCCGCCACCTGCTGCTAACACCCCAGGATGGGGACCGAGATCTAACAAGAGGCCTGTGGGTAAAATCCCAGATTCAAACTCTGGCACCTATACAAAGGCCTCTCTCTGCTCCCTCACTCTTGTCACAAAGAATCTCAAAGAACAAGAGTTGAAACTATGTGAGCAGAGGCTCCTCACATCCCTGCCAGAGTTGAAGTCACATCTAAAATCAGCACCTCGGGCCTTATGTCGGGAAGTCCCCTAGGAGGCTATTCCCAAACCACCTTGACAGTTTTGTCCCATGCACCCTATGCACATGGGGGAGGGCACCAAAACATGGCTGGGACATTGTCCCGGCCAAGGAGTCCACACAGGCAGTGTGGCTGGCGTCTTACCTCGTCGTACATGAACTGGAGCGTCAGGGCCGACTTGCCGACCCCGCCACTGCCAACCATGATCACCTTGTGAAGGGCCAGGGAGCTCTGGCCCTTGTTCTTGTTCGCAGCCATCCTGCTGGCTTAACGGAGGCGACAGGTGACGGCACGCGGACAGAAGAGCCAGTCGGAGAGCTGCCAGTGACAAAGACAAAGACTTAGAGTCAGTTCAACACACCTATGCTTTGGGAATTGGACAAAGGTAAAAGCCCTGTGACCACCTGGAAGTCATTTATCTCCACAGAGCCAGGGCCAGAGTAACACAGGAGCACACAGCCCCAGCCTGTATCACTGAGGAGGGTGAAGAGGACGCTATCACTAGAGTCCATACACCCCCCAGGGCTTCCCTGGGACAGAATGACCGAAAGGCTCCAAGTCTCAATTCCCACCACTCCCCCGAGTCACCCAGTGTGCCAGGGAACCATGTGGCGACCTGGCTCTCCAGTTTTTTATCCTTACTACTCTCCTTGTCCCTGTCCCTCTAGCCACACACCCCCCAACACACACACAAACTCACAGCCCTCCATGTGAATTAAGGAGGTGGATGAAGAGGAACAAGTAGATATATTATTTTATAGTAATATACAACCCCTCAGGACACAGGACACAGTTAAAAGAAGTATGTAATTATTTACTCCAGGTTTGTTTAAAGTAATGAACTAAAAGAAGTTAAATTTTTAAAAGATAACAATTAATTTATATCAGTTTGTCCTCCTCAAAAATAAGAAAATGAGTACCAATCCTGGCATTAAGGGAGATGAAATATCCCCCGTAAGTAAATTCAACAGATATCTAGACCCTGTTCTGACCCAAGAGCTAATCTTTAAATAATTTATATGGGGGTGGAGTTCTATTTCCATACATCTCAGCAAAATGGACCCAAATCTGGTTCTGCCATTTGTGAGCTATGTGACCTACGACTAGTTATTTAATTTCTCTAAGTTACAGGGTTTTCTTTTTTTTTAATTTTTAATTTTTTGTAGTTGTAGACAGACAGCATGCCTTTATTTATTGACTTATTTTTAAATGTGGTGCTGAGGATTGAACCCAGTGCCTCACACGTACTAAGCAAGGGCTCTGCCACTGAGCCCCAGCCCCTGGTAACATGGTTTTCTTATCTGCAAATACATATAAATGGGCATTTAAACTTGCAGGATGGTCCTGAGGACTACAGGACATAACATGTGAAAGATCTAAGCACAGGATCTAGCACATAGTAGGGATGTAATAATGGTCTGCTGCCGTCCTGTTTAACAGGGTGGTTTTAATTAGATTTTCTTTGTGTGTGTGTGTGTGTGTGTGTGTGGTGTTGGGGATGGAACCCAGTGCCTCACATGTGCTAGGCAAATGCTCTACCACTGAGCCACAACCCCAGCCCTAACAGGGTATTTGTTTAATTACAACACCATGGGCTCCTATTTCTCTTCTTGTTGAGTTGAAAACACTACCACTAGAAAAAAACAAATACACACAACACACAAATCACTGGGGAAAAACAGAACATCATTTTTTTTTTAAAGAGAGAGAGAGAGAGAGAATTTTAATATTTATTGTTTTAGTTTTCGGCGGACACAACATCTTTGTTTGTATGTGGTGCTGAGGATCGAACCCGGGCTGCACGCATGCCAGGCGAGCGCGCTACCTCTTGAGCCACATCCCCAGCCCCAGAACATCATTTTAAATCAGTTGTTTCCATCCCTGGCTTCAAGCACCTGGGAACTATACCAACATCCTGGTCAGAGATTTTGATGCAGCCTGAAACTCGGGACTTCTAAAGATTCCCAGGTGACTCTCGTGGGCAGCGAAGGCTGAGAACTGCTCTGAAACGCGCAGCTGAGCTCAGTGGAAAAGAAGCAGTCCCCACTCAGCAGTAGGAGCTGCTCATCCTGCCATCTCTAGGTATCAGGATTTAATGTACACAGAACTAGGAGACCAAGGCCCACACAGGGAGGAGCGAGAACTGAAACACCTTTGCAACTGAGAACTGAGAGGCCAAGGCCTTTGAAGGAGCACCGGAGGAGAGTGGACTAGAAAAACATGTTCACCAACAGGAACGATGACAAAGAGGCTTATCTGCCAAAGCCCCAGCTGTATGCGAGTTTTACTTAAAAATCTACAACCACAACAGTCCTCCAAAACCAAGAAATGTACGTGCAAAGTGGTCCCAGGCAGGTAGGAACACCGGGGCGCCACGCAGCATGCTGGCCAAAGGCTGTCTGGGAGATGAGGGCAAGGAGAGCACCTTCCCAACTTCGAGAACACCACCACATGGGAGCCAGCATACATAGCAAGTGGGGCTTTTCAGACAGGCAGCAGACAAAGGATTATTTGATCAATTGGAATAAAAACAAAAAGCAGCATCTAAAAAACACAACATTACCAACAAGTCAGATGGACTTTAACAAGAATCATTCTAAATGCCTAAAATTTTTTTGAATGTTTAAAATGAAAAGTTATGATGCTCTGTAGCAAACCTACAAAACACACAATCTCTGAAAAAAAAACACGTATGATCTACCACCAAGAGATATTCACTATTAACTGAGTATTTCCTGCTAGTATTTTAATCTACATAGTGCTACATTTGAAACGTATATGAGGGCTAGGGTTGTGGCTCAGTGGTAGAGCGTGTGCCTTGCACCTGTGAGGCACTGGGCTGGATCCTCAGCACCACATAAAAATAAATACAGGTATTGTGTCCATCTACAACTAAAAAAAATATTTAAAAACATGTTTGAGATCATATTTATATAGTTTCACAAGTTTTCCATGCACTATATCTATTTTCCGAAACAGGTGAATTGAACGAAATTCAGCCTTTTCACATTGAGTTCCTCAGCTGCACAGGGGCCACGTGAATGGCCTTGGGCTACCCTAAGTCAAGGTCGCAGCCCTGCTCATCCACTGGTTTCTCCACCCTCACATTTCACCATCTTTTTACCTGCCTACACCAGGCACTCTTTCCACTCCCCCTTTGCTAATTATGTGCTTTTTATAATAAGTGAGCTAAGCAATTAACTCGATAATTAAACACATCTGAATTGTGACTAAAATAAAAGAAATGGGATAAGGGGCAGGCCTCCCCCAAAGGCTTCAGTTTAAGAATGTGAAACTACTTTTGGCCTCATTTCTGGCCCCCAGCAGTTTCCTAAAAACGGAATGAGGTTGCAACACTCAAATCCTCCATCCCACATTTCTCCAAGGCAACCTTCTGTGAACTATATGAAAATGGACAAATATTTTTCCAGGCTAAGAACAGAGGTCTTTTCCAAACACATGAATAAGTCTAATTCTGAACCACTATTTTCAAAAAAGCAGCGTCAATTTCTCTAGAAGAAACAATCACAAATAAACTGAAGGCTACTCAAGGAATCCACAGATGTTTGCTAAAACATCTCTACTCAAGTCCAAAACCGGAAATAACTATGGCGGATATTTCCAATCCACGTCACTGCTTCTGTCAACTTGGCATGCTGACAGGAAGGACAAAAGAAAGGCAGAGGTGGCAGCCAAGTGCCCCTCACCGAACCACTCGTGGAAATGCTGACCTTCAGACTCCTGGTGTGAGAGATAAGAAACTTCTAACTGCTGAAGTCTCAGAGTCTATTTACTGTTGTTGATTGTTTTTACTTTTACCAGAAAACATTACAGAAATATAGTCTTTGCCCATAACAAAGTTGTTTGAGTGACAGTCTACTGGTTTGAACAAATTAGTAAATGAGGACAGTACAGGGTGACAAATTCTATGGTTAAAGGGCACTCTGGAAACGGAAGAGATATCTAAAGCAGAATGTAAGTTCAGGGGAAATTTCCTGGAGAAAGCAACATATAGACTCAGATTTGAAGGACTTAACTAAAGCGAGGAGGAAAAATAGAAGAAAAAGAATCAGTGAAGCTTGGGCAGTTCATGTATATGATTTAACAGATATGTACAACATTTAATAGTTTATAATAGATGTACCTATTCCATGATGTGCTCTTTAAAAAAAAAAAAATACAGGTTGGGACTGGAGTTGTAGCTCAGTGGTAGAGTGCTTGCCTCGAATGCATGAGGAACTGGGTTCAATTCTCAGCAACCACATATAAATAAATAAATAAAGGTCCATTGACAACTGGAAAAATATTTAAAAAAGAAAATACAGGCATCCTTTTCCCTAACAGTTTATTCTGGAAAATTACAAATATTTTGAAAAGTTTAAAGACCTTACAGGGGCCAGGTGTGGTGGCGCATGCCTATGATCCCAGTGGCTTGAGAAGCTGAGGCAGGAGGATCATGAGTTCAAAGCCAGCCTCAGCAACTTAGCAAGGCCCTAAGCAACTCAGCAAGACCCTGTCTCTAAATAAAATACAAAAAAAAAAAAAAAAGGGTTAGGGATGAGGCTCAGTGGTTAAGTGACCTCAGGTTCAATTCCGAGTACCCCCCTCAAAAAAAAGAAAGAAAGAAAAGAAAAACAAGACATTCCAAACTAAGAATGCTTTGCTTAGTTGGCTTAGGAAAGAGGCAAAAGAGCTTAGAAATGATTTTTCTACATATGTTCTATGATACAATAATATCATAGCATAAAGCCAAATACCAGAACACACATTCACTTGAGAAGTAAAATATATTTTGAAAGCAAATCTCAGTACATAAAACTATCCAAGTGTTAAGAGGAAAGGGTGTTTCCAGTGAATTTTAGTCTGACAGGCTGACAATAGTCATTAGTCTTTCTTTTAATTTAAGCAAAGAAGAAATATGCTGGTAATAGAATCCAACTGCCACGTTGCCTGTATCATAGGGCTGTCATGAAACACAAGTAACAATGAGAAAACCTAGGGGACACCAGCTCTCCCTGACCCCTCATAAAATCCAATATGCTGGGTAATACAATATGCGAAAGCACACAGCACACTCCCCCATGCGACACACCCAAGGAACTGAATGTAGCACTTTTTCTCCAGACAATATGAATGAAGGTAACCTGGACGCTACTCGCTACTCGTAGGTTACAACCATAATATCTGAGTCTCCCACAATGTTATCCAGGTATTCAATCCTTTAAATAACAATCAAAAATCCTTTAAATAACTCAACATTCCTTTAAATAACAAGCACAAATATGAGACACTTTTAGCACCCAAGTAATTAAAGACAG